AGACCTCCTATCCAACTATGATGCAAAGAGTCTTGTGACCTCTTAAATAATAAGAACTTCTTTTATTACGTATGATTTGGTCAGATGTTGGACAAGATCACTTTTTGGTCCATACCTTCCATGCTGGGTGTGAGATTTGGGAACTATAATTCAGAAAAGTAATGCTTCCTGGACTCTATTATTTTGAGCTAGAGCTTAGAAAAGTCACTTTGGGGACAACAACTCCCATGGCCCTACTGCCTGGGGGATTCTGGTAGTCCAAAAAAAGTTACTTTCTTACTAAACTCTAACTACAGCCCATTCCGTCAGATGTTGGTTGTCTCAAGCAAGGATGGCTAACTGCGATTGATCATTGTGTTTCTTCATACACTGGTTTACCCTTTTCGTAAGGCCACTTAACTGTGGGGAGGGGATTTGTGTTTCAGCCCTGTGTAAAAGTCAACTGAAATTTTGTACAAAAGCACATACGTCGGTATGTGTGCTTTGTCCCATTGTACAGAATCAGCCTCAACAGAATTTCCAGTGCTAGCCCATTTCTTGGCTACACCAAGGTTGTTGTTTTTTAAATGACCAAAATAGAACATTGGCCTGGAATCTGTGTCAGAAGAAACCAGTATGTTTGAAGGAATGGCTCCCCGAGGTAAATAGAGCTGCTACTGTTTGTCTCTTGGCCAGCTGTTAGGACAGTCGGGGGGAGAGAGAGTGTGCCCAGTCTGGCATTAGAAGAGCGCCATTGTTCGGCGGCCACCCCGGCAAAAGAAATGGATGTTCTCGACAGCAGGTTGCTTTCATCCTCTGAGCTGGCAAATGCATCTCTTCTCTCCCCCCCCCCACACAAGTTCCAGAGCACCTGTTTCTTTTCAGCAAATGTTGGGAGTAAAAATACAAGCCACATGTCGCTCATGCAGTTTGCCTCTGTGGAGGGAGTGTGCGCTTTAGGCAACAGATGATTCTTAGCCTGGCCTTCGGATCGGAATGAAAAGCTGGCAGAGTCAGAAGTACTTGAAGAGGACCTGTTTTTCTTAGGAAGTTCTGGAATGCAGACATGCACCCTGCCCTAGTTCTGAGGGTAGTGCTGGCACCGAAGCAGGATTAAAGCGCCTCTTTTCTCTTGGTGTGCTCGACTGATTTAGACCATTATCTATGGGTCTCACATCACTCCTAATATCAGGAGGCCGACTGAGGAGGGAGAAGCAGGACAATGTAAAGTGGATGAATTGTGTATATCTAGTGATGTAAAACTCCCTCCAGCCCCATATACCTATTTTAAAAGCAGATTTGTATTTGAACTTGAAGTTCTGGATCCACAAATCTATTCCACTGGGATTCCCTGAGGGCGCTGGTCCCTTTTCCTCAGAGCACAACATTCAACATTCGGTGATTTATCGGCTTTTGTTCCTTTTTCCCATTCAAAAAAGCTTGAGAGGTCTTTCCCAAGGTTGAGTTAGTGGCAGTGAGAGCCAATGTGGTGTAGTGGTTAGAGTGTTGCACTATAACACAGGTGTTGTGGGGTCAAATCCCTGTTTGGCCAAGAACTCACTTGGTGACTTTGAGTCAGTCCATCTCATGGCCGGACGTACTTCACAGCCTTGTGGTAAGGATAAAATGGGGAGACGAGAGTTCATGCATGCTCTCTAGAGCCCACTGAAGGAAAGGTGGGATTCAACAAACATATCCTAATGAAAATCACCAGTAGCAGGGGAGGGTACTCAAGTTGCGAGACTTGCTGTCAAATTGGATTTAAGTTGGACCCATGACTCAACTCAGACTTGACTTTTTTCTTCAATGACTTGGACCCAACTCATGATTTTAACCCCACCTATCCCTCCCTTTTTCTCTCAGGAAAAAGGCTTGTTTTTAACAGGGACTCTGACTTGGGTCTTGGGACTTGTTACTAAAAGACTTGGGACTTGGTACCAAAGATTTGATCTTGGGATTTGGTTGCCAGAGTCCCTGGCTTTAAATGAAAACATGGTTATTTTGGTCCCACCCCTTTCCCTTTAATTCAACTCAGTTCACGAATGTAGCCCTGAAGAATTTCTCTGTAACAGATTTTTCTCCTTGGGCTGAAAGAACTCCTTTGCTTTGGATGCCCATGGAGAAGAAGGTGTCAGTTTCCTATAGTGTCAGTTGTGGCCTAAAGAAGACGTGCATCAAGCAGCTTTGACCAAAGATGGAGAGGTTCCATCACTGAAGTTCTGGCTCTACTATGGGGAGACCAACAGTTGTGGGAAATGGCTGTAGGACAGGTTGGAAGTGGCCAGGTTTTGAACTAGGCAGGTAGACATTGAGGGGGTTTGAGACAGAAAATATCATTTCAATCAGTCCCCAGATCAAGGCAAGCTGCTGCCTATGGCTACTTAAAGAGGCAACTGAAGAACTTTCCAAACTGCACACAATTCTTCATGAATTTGTTGGAAATAACTTTGAATTTAATTGGATGTCAGGGAAAATTGGATTCGTGCATTGAACAAGAGGTTAGACTTGATGGCTTAACAGGCTTCTTCCAAATCAATTTTTCTACGATTCTATGGATGCAAAACTGTCAGAGCAGCCAATCAAAGCAGAAGCTTTTGAGTGCTTAGCTTTTAAAAGTTTGGCTTTGACTCTATCCATCCTTGTATATCCACCCACGTTGCTAGTCCTGAATTACGTAGAGTTGCAGTCGCTTTTTTCTCTCCCCAAACACTCTTCATTGTTGATAGAACTTGAACATCTTTGTACTGAGAACTGCTGTTCTGATTTGGCCAGTGTAGATGGATCAGAATTTTGCCCAGTTAAGATTCACAATTTTCTTCTTAAAGTTGATAGAAAGAGCCTGAGACTTAAAGAATTTGAACATGGGGAAAATTGACATTGAATGGGAAACTGACTGTTCCTGTCCATGAGTCAAGATATTAAAGGAAGGATTTATGATCCTCCCTGCTATGTTAATTGCTGCAGCTTTTCTGTGACTAAAACGGAAATGATTTCCGTTTAAAGAAGAAATTAAATCCTCATAGTAGAATAAGAAGATCAGGATCCTGATTATGATGAAATATTTGGCAAATGGTCATCTGACCAACATGAAAGGTATGACAGACTTATGACATGCTAGCTTTCACCTACAGGTTGAAGTAGTCAAATTGACTGTTCTTCCCTTTTTCATATCAGAAAGAGCAGAGAACTAGGAATATAGGAAGCTACCTCATACTGAGTCCATTTAGCCTTGGAGTGTCAACTCTGACTGGCAGGGGTTTCTTAGAGTTTCAGGCAGGATTCCATACTAACCCTGTCTGGATTTAGTGGTATCCTGCCCCAGTCAATTCAATGGCATCCTTCAGTCTCGAAAGACCTTCTTAGAGTTTCAGGCAGGATTCTGTACTAACCCTGCCTGGATTTAGTGGTATCCTGTCCCAGTACTAATCAAGCCAATCCTGCTTAGCTTCCAGAATCAGACAAGATAAGGGTCAGGTTTAAGGTCGTGTGGCAGTTTTAATGACAATGCAAGATCAAATAGAGCAATGGTCCTCAACGTTGGGCCTCCAGATGTTATTGAACTACACAATCTGTCCCCTGTCCAGCTCCCTGGTTTTGCTGCATCAAGCAAATCCTGCGTAGCTTCCAGAATCAGACAAGATAAGGGTCAGGTTTAAGGTGGTGTGGCAGTTTTAATGACAATGCGAGATCAAATAGAGCAATGGTCCTCAACGTTGGGCCTCCAGATGTTATTGAACTACAACTCCCAGAAGCCTTCACCACCAACTCTGCTGGCCAGGATTTCTGGGAGTTGAAGTCCAAGAATATCTGGAGGCTCTAGGTTGGGGACCACTGGAATAGAGGACATCCAAGAAACAGGGAATATAGAGAAATGCTTAAAACCACTGCTCCTCATGCCGGCTTCATTGTCCTATGGAGCCTTAGAACCTCAGGCCTCCCTAGAGGGCACTCTAGGTTGGGGACCACTGGAATAGAGGACATCCAAGAAACAGGGAATATAGAGAAATGCTTAAAACCACTACTCCTCATTGTCCTATGGAACCTTAGAACCTCAGGCCTCCCTAGAGGGCATCCAAGTTCTGGAGGGAAGGTATGGATGTCAAAGTATTTGTACTTTAGCGTATCACATCTCTGTTTCTTCTGCATCTAGTACAAGGTTACATTTTGAATTTGTACTATGGCAGCCATTTTCTGGCGACATTCCTATGACTCATTTCTCAACTCCTCATTGTCCTATGGAACCTTAGAACCTCAGGCCTCCCTAGAGGGCATCCAAGTTCTGGAGGGAAGGTATGGATGTCAAAGTATTTGTACTTTAGCGTATCACATCTCTGTTTCTTCTGCATCTAGTACAAGGTTACATTTTGAATTTGTACTATGGCAGCCATTTTCTGGCGACATTCCTATGACTCATTTCTCACATCTTTGAATAATGGTGCATTCACTTTGTCTTGTTCCTGGTAGATTATTATTCTTTTTCCCTTTGACTTGGAGCATGATCCATGGCACAGATGGCTCCTGATCAAGGGTGGGGGTTATCATCTTTTAAATATTTGACTGACATCACCTCAATCCATGAACCGTTCAAGATCCACACTAATACAGTATATAGTGCTATTGATAAGAATCCCTTTGTTGTGTGAAGACTATTCAAGCTATTCCACTGATTCCCAGAACATCCCACATCATCAGTGGTTTTTAGTTGACAGTGTCTTCTCAAAGAATGGCATGGCTTTTATCCCATTGGTACCTAGTGTCGCATCTTATTACTGGCTTCTTCCAAAAGTGTTCTTTTTGTAATTTTTAATTCCCCCATTTCCAGATCCTTTGGATTGCAAATCTCACAGTTTAATACATGTGTGGAGGGAGGGAGCAGGGGGATTTGAAGCATTACAAATCTGGAGACCGTCAAGTTGGGGAAGGCTCTCTTAAACCACGAAATGTGGTCGGTTAAGTTTCGTTTACTAATTAGGGAACTAGCCACTTGGAGAGCACCTCACGTTTCATCTTGTCTTCTCCAGAATACCTTGGCCAAAGCATTATACGACAATAAGGCGGAGTGCCCAGATGAGCTCGCCTTTCGCCGAGGAGACATCCTGACTGTCCTTGAGCAGAATCTTCTCGGAAGCGAAGGCTGGTGGAGATGTTCACTCCATGGAAAGCAAGGCATGGCACCAGCAAATCGCCTCCAACTTCTTACCCCTTCCTTAGCTCCCTCCACCCAGCAAGACTCCCAAGAACTGCCAAACAGCCAGTCGATCTATCAGATTCCTTCTGCACAGCAAGCTCCTGCACCCCTACCAATCTATGAAAAAATGGATAGTTGGATTACGTCTCCTTTGTCGGCTTCTGCTGCGTCTTACCCAGTGAAACAAGAAGTGTACCAGGTACCAGCGCTGGCTGCTCAACTCCTCAGTGAGAAGACTCAGAGTTCATCCAATCAGGTAAAGATGCAAGAAAACTCTCAGAAAAGGGGAGGGGTAACGAGAAAGATTTGCATTAATGAAGAACTACAAACCGATGTGGATGCTTTTGCCTCATCCTCTACTCCTCCAAATCTTCCTTCCAAGCACACATGCACGTTACTACGCGCACACACAGATACACACACAACAAACTCATGCATGTGTGTGTGTGTATGTGTGTACGCACGCACACCTCTCTTTCACACAGAACCCAACAAATACAACAATAACCTATTTCACACTGATGGACTCCTTGCATAGAGTGTCTGCATGTCCTACCTTACAGAGGGCAGTCCTCTGTTTTAAAGTATCCCATAATTGAAAGACTGTCCAGTTGAAAGATAAAAGAGAGTAAGAAGACAGAGCAGGATGGACAGCAGCACACTTGGCAAGCACACAGATCGCCTGGTCCTGAGTATCTTCCTCCAGTGTGATGCGATGCTGTGCCTTACTATTTAAATCACAATATTTCTATTTAAATCACAGCATGTTTTCTACATATATACCTCTACGTATAAGGTATCACATACAAATTATATACAAATTTATGCCCTCTTTTGTTAGAGATTTGGTAGGTGAGGGTGAGGATTAAGTAGCTTCCTGGTGCTGGGCTAGCCTACATGGCCTTTGTTCTCATCACAGAAAGGGCTTAAATTCTTGAGCCAGTGTTTCACTTAGGGTCGAAGCAGTTGTTGTATATAGCAGCCAGAATCCTAACTGCTTACATACATTGGTGTATATTTCATAATATAAATCACAGTGGCAAATTGCTGCTACTTGAGACTTGCTGCTAGTATTCTTCTTGCTTACCGAGTTACACAATAAGGAATACACGTTGTGTATAGTTGTGCCCCGCTTAACGATTACCCCGTATAACGACGAATCTGCTTCACAACAATGTTTTTGCAATTGCAAAACGGTGTTTTAATGGGTTTTTCTGGCTTTGCAACAATTGGTTCCCTGCTTCGGGAACTGATTCTTCGCATTATGACGATCAAAACAGCTGACCGTCGGGTTTTCAAAATGGCCAACGGCTGCTCAAAATGGATCCCTGCTGTTTTTAGGAGGCAGTTTTCGCAAGACAGGCACCTGAAAATGGCTGCCATATGGAGGATCTTCACTGGACGATTAGGTATTTCGCCCATTGGAACACATTAATTGGTTTTTAATGCATTTCAATGGGTTTTTTATTTCATTTGACGACGTTTTCACTCTACAGTGATTTCACTGGAACTAATTAATGTCGTCAAGCGAGGCACCACTGTATTAGACAGCATCACAGTTGTCACAGGCAGGAACACTTGTGCTACAGACATTCATCACACGTGAAGAACACAGAGCTGGATAGCCCAGCTGAGTGCAGGAACAGAAATAGAGTAGACCCACATAGCAAGAAGACAGCTGGTGTGTGATCAGCTGTTCCTTAGCAGAAGGCTCAAGCTGCTGTCTGACTTTTTGAGAATACGATACAGAATCTAGTTGAGGAATACTGAGAATTAATTTTGTTTGCCCTGTCCTAACCTGTTTTTGGTTTTCATAAACCTCCAATATTTCAGTAGCATTTTCTTCTAGGAAAACGCACATGTAGCACACAGCTGGAGGCAGAATATAGCCATTTTTAACGGATGCAAAAATGAGCATGTTGGAGTGGGACTCAGGAGAACCATGTTCTAACCCCACCAGTGCAATCGTACTTGCTGAGCGGACTTGGCTCAGTCATTCTTTCTCATCCTGACCAACTTCATAGAACTGAGGATTGAGTCTAGAAGAGGAGCGCCATGTATGCAGCTGCCTTGAGCACACTGGAGGAAAGATGGGAGAGAAATATAACTAATTCACCCAAATGTCCCCAAATTGGGCAGAGAGCGAGAGCAGTTTTTCTGCTACATCCGTGCCAAATTTGGTGCTCCAAATGTCCCCAAATTGGGCACAGAACGAGAGCAGTTTTTCTGCTACACCCGTGCCAGATTTGGTGCTGATCCAAGGTCCGGTTTCATAGTTATAATTTGTTATTTGGGGCATCCCTATTTTGGGGGGTTAGCTTATGGAAGGCTGAGTGCTCCTAATAATAAGTGAACTGGAGGCTTCAGTGGCTGCATTCCTAACATCACCACACTGGGCATGTCCCCAACACCTCTGTGATGGAACGTGTCAAGAGAAGCTACAGGGTCCGTACAGTATGACAAGATCTCACACCCATGTGTTCCCATGTATGTGATATCCCGTCAAATGATCAAACATCATGCATCAGCTAACCGCATGGGAAGACTAGTTTCTTATAAAACAGCAGGCCTAAACAGTGACTGCATGTTTTGCCTTATATACCTATAAGAGCTAGAAACTTACTTTAAAAAGTGAAGCTTGGAATGAAGATCCATGGAATGCCCATTAAAACTCATTCAACACGAAGCGCCCATCGCAAAAATGCAGGCCGCCACTTTGAAAGGAGCGTGGAAGGGCTCCCCCATGCTCCTTCCGAAGCGCCTGCCAGCCAGCTGGGGGAAATGCCAGCTGATCGGCGGTTCCAAAATGGCCGCCCACACCCATGTGTTCCCATGTATGTGATATCCCGTCAAATGATCAAACATCATGCATCAGCTAACCGCATGGGAAGACTAGTTTCTTATAAAACAGCAGGCCTAAACAGTGACTGCATGTTTTGCCTTATATACCTATAAGAGCTAGAAACTTACTTTAAAAAGTGAAGCTTGGAATGAAGATCCATGGAATGCCCATTAAAACTCATTCAATCAGTTTAACGACGAATCCGCATAGCGGATTTTATCAATCAACCATAACGATCACCCTCCTTATAGTTCTTTAAACCAAACTTGGGTGAAACAACCCTTCTGATGGAGGACTCCTTTACCAGGAGGCGACTAGAGCATTCTAAAGAGAATTCAAGGGACCTAAAACTATAGATCTCAGGATTCTGTAGAATGGTGCCACGGCAGTAAAAATGGCATCAAAAACTGCTATCATCATGTAGTCTAACTTTAACACACACTTTGAGCATAGCCAGACCTACATTCCTCTTTTAGCCTTTCTGACCTTTTTAGTACTGTATTATGTAAACATCTTACTTGGATGCCTGATCTTGACTGGAAACATCTAGTGTCTGCGGTGCGCCTGATGTTGCAATGCTCTGTTTGCGTTATGTCAGAGTTTTGTTTACAACTTTGCATGCTCTCTCTAATTTGTGTGGCTAGGAGGGGCTTTTCTGGGCTGGGGTGACTAGTCAGTCATTCTTTCTGGGTTTTGAATTGAAGGAAAGCCCCCACCTCTCTACTGTGTACTTTCCCTCACTTTTTAGTCTGTTGGTTGCAGTTGTTTTGTTTTGCTGTTGACCTGTTTAGTTGGTTGGTATATATGTGTGCAGAAAGAAAGCAGCTTAAATAAGTTTGTAAATTCAAGCAAGTAAGTAAAGAATTGTTTTTATTCTTTCTCCTACAAATGTCTCAGAGTGAGTTATTGAGACTTTAAGTGGCAGTTAATGAAAAAAAAAGGTGGACTCTGGAAAACTTGGAGCTATTCTCCTCTGTGGATCTTCGTACATCTACTCCATGGCAAAAATAGAATTTTGCCTGAAATTCAAAACTCTGCAACAGTTTACAGGTTAAGGAAAGCCCCCACCTCTCTGCTGAGTACTTTCCCCCACTTTTTAGTCTATTGGTTGCAGTTGTTTTGTTTGCTGTTGATCTGTTTGAAGGAAAGCCCCCACCTCTCTACTGTGTACTTTCCCTCACTTTTTAGTCTGTTGGTTGCAGTTGTTTTGTTTTGCTGTTGACCTGTTTAGTTGGTTGGTATATATGTGTGCAGAAAGAAAGCAGGATAAATAAGTCTGTAAATTCAAGCAAGTAAGTAAAGAATTGTTTTTATTCTTTCTCCTACAAATGTCTCAGAGTGAGTTATTGAGACTTTAAGTGGCAGTTAATGAAAAAAAAAGGTGGACTCTGGAAAACTTGGAGCTATTCTCCTCTGTGGATCTTCGTACATCTACTCCATGGCAAAAATAGAATTTTGCCTGAAATTCAAAACTCTGCAACAGTTTACAGGTCCCTTTGGACAGTAAAAGCATGAACTGAGTTCAGATCAAGTAACTATTCCATTCTCAAGAGTTGCAAGGGAGAGGTTCTTGCCATAAGCTGCTCAAAAAATAAAAAAATAAAAAAATGGAGTGGTCTCCTTTCAAATTGTATGTGTTGTCAAGTGAAAAAAAAAACCATTGGGATGCATTGAAAACTGAACCGCCGATCAGCTGTTTAAAATTGCTGTCTTCCAAAGCAGGGGTCCAGAAAACAGCCACTTTGCAAAGGGAGGGAAGCCATTTTACGAACGGAAGCCATTTTGCGGAGCAAGAAAAATAGTCATTTAGCGAACTAATGGTTCACGAAGCAGGCTCCTAATAGACATCAAATGAAAAAAAACCACTGGAACCAATGTTTTGTGATCGCAAAAAACTCATTGTAAAGTGATGAAACTCTGCAACAGTTTCGCAAAGCAGGCTCCTAATAGACATCAAACGAAAAAAAACCCATTGGAACCAATGTTTGCGATCGCAAAAAACTCATTGTAAAGTGATTTCGTCGTCAAGCGGGGCACCACTGTACCTAAACTACTGAGCTACCAAGCAGTTTCTGAAAAAATAAAAAAGAATTTTATTTATCTTTCTGTGCCACAGAACTTTCTCTGCATGGCTTACACTACAGTAAAGAAGCACTAAAATAATGTACAGAACATGATGGCTTAAATCCTGTTCTGCAGTTATCTAACAGGTGTAACATTTGAAAGTGACTTGCCATAAGTTCAGAAACCTCAATGGACATGTTTAGAGTACAACAATTTGCCTGTAGAAGTTACACCATTTTTATAACTGCAGAAAAGGATTTCAGCCAAAAAACTATAAAACTATAAAAATAAAAAACAGACAAAACAAAACTAGAATAACCCCAAATATACAAATTTAAAAGTGAGAGGCCCAAAGTACTGTATTCAAAAATTCAGGTGAGTAAGATTCCTGCTCCCAAATTGTGTAGACACGGCATAAAGCAAGTGCCTGTGGAAAAACAATTACAAAATTGGTGTTCCACTGCCCAAAATGTCCTCTCTTTGGTAGTCACCCACTTAACTTCATTCGGCTGGAATATTAGGTTCTCTGAAGATGACCTTAAGGCAGTGGTCCCCAACCTTGGGCCTCCAGATGTTCTTGGACTACAACTCCCAGAAACCTTCACCACCACCGCTGCTGGCCAGGATTTCTGGGAGTTGAAGACCAAGAACATTTGGAGGCCCAAGGTTGGAGACCACTGCCTTAAGGCACAAGGACGTACGTATGGAAGAAGGCATATGTACATCTCATACATACATAAGCATATGTGACCGATTCCCAAGCTGTTCAAAGCTTTACGTTTCCCACCCTGTGCCAACATAGCATGGACTTGGGTGGTGCGTGAAATTTTAATACTAATGACCAGATCCTAGCACCACAGCCTGCTATTTTCATTTCTCAAAACACAGTGGAAGGCACTCATGTTACAGTGGGAAATCAAAAAAGAGAGCTCCTTCCAGTGTTAATCAGACTCTTCCAAGGATACAGAGCCCATGGCTTGGGACCGACATACAGCCTTAGATGCTTTCCGTGATGCCTCAGAAGGTGGTAGGAGGACACTTGGTATTCTCTGGCTTCTAGGATTGCTCAATTCCTGCCACAAGCACTAGAGGATAAATATAGTCTGAGTGAAGAGTGATGAGAAAGAAGGCACAATTCTGTGTGCTGTGATGTACAGAGGAAGGGCGTATGTACTACTGTAAACATGGTAGGTGTGTGTGTACATGCAAGTGTGCACATGACATATGTGTGTGTGTGTATTTTTTTGCATCATTTTAACCTCACATTTCTCCACAAGAGAATCCAAGGCAGCTTACAATATTAAAATAGACTACTGTATTTTTCTGTGTATAAGACGCCCGCATGTATAAGACACCCCCCACTTTTCTAATCCAAAATTAAGAAATCTAAGTGGGGCTTAGCAAGTGTAGGGGGAAAGGGATCAAAGTGCTGCAGGATCGCTTTGATCCCTGCTTTTCCCTCCACTTGTTTTTGTTCTCTCCTCAGCTTACTTCTTTGTATAAGACAAAAGTCTAGTCTTATACATGAAAAAATTTTGGATTCTTAAAAAAAGAGTTCATTTCAGTATTTTAAAAAATTATACCAGTATCCATTTAAAACGAGTAGATAAAAACAATTCAAAACAATTTTTCTAGTCTTATACATGGAAAAATTTTGGATTCTTAAAAAAAAATTATACCAGTATCCATTTAAAACTAGTAGATAAAAACAATTCAAAACAATTTTTAAAAACTACAATGAGAATATATAGACAAACTTTAAAAGCTCTGGGGAAAGGTCTGTCTGAAAAGTTTTTGTCTGAATGTGGAATGGCAGCAAAGAGGGGGTCAGCATGGCCTCCTGTGGTGTAAATATATGGACTTCCAGATCTCCCAGCTTGCACTGGATGTCCTCAGTGCTAGAAGAGGTGTGCTTCCCTAAAATAAAGCATAAAGGAACTATTAAGTCTACTAAACACACTGAAAAGTTTCATGTAAAAAAACATTTTTTTAAAAATCATTCAATGTCATTTTCAGCTCTTTGCTGTTTGCTTGGTATCATCACTGAGGCATATTTTTAAGCTTGGCAACTAGCCCTTTATTATTCTAGTCTCTTTGTACTCTTTAGCTTACTGAAACATGAAATGTACTCTTGCAAAAGTTTCTTATCAAGGCCTTACAGCTATCATATCTGCCTGTTTTGGGTTAGGGAGGTTTAAAATGTATAAAGGAGCTGCTGTCTTGAGGAGAACTTAGGCTTGCCCTTGTTGAGGATCCTTGCTGTTTGCAGAACGCTTTGTAGCAACAGAGCAACCTAACCCCTCAAGGGGTTAAGGTAATTCAGTTTCGCAGGATTCCCACTGCGCTGGGATTATCAAGGCCATGCCCTGATCCGGAAGTTCCCAACATTAGGTAACCCAGGTGTTCTTGGACTCCGAATCCCAGAAACCCCCAGCCCACACAGTTGGTGGTGAAGGCTTCTGGGAACTACAGCCCAAGAAGACGTGGGCAACCTAAGATGGGGAATCACTGCCCTAATTAATGGAAGGGAATAGATTTTGGATTTTGTATGGGAGAAAACCTGGCAATAACTTATAGCTTTAAATACTTATCTAACTAGCTAGAGAAAACAGAAAAGTAGAAGCCCAAGCCCTCTTGATTGCTTTTCACCAGAACATATTCTTTGATGTCCTAAGTACTCGCCAATTCAATAACCACAAAAGATTTGTACTCTCTTGCATGCAACAGATCATCTTTCTTTCCCCAGTAAGGAAACGTAACAGGCATAATGTTACCACAAAAGGAAATCAGTCTGTGAAGAACAAGCCCTGTTGTTTTCAAGGTGAAAAGCAAACAGCGGGTTTCGCCGTGGTCGATCTTGCAGGGAGCAAGGCAGCTGGCACAAGGTTAACTAAAATCCATGAAAGATGCTTTTGAACGATGGCAGCTGAACTCACAAAATCTTCACAGAACTCTGGAATTCATTCTCGCTCTCCATCTCCTTATTTCTACCTTCTCCTTTTTCCCTAGCATCTCTACAGTCTTCCCAGAGCAATGTGTGCTTCAGCACTGGAGAGCAAAAATGAAATATATGACATCCCATCACCACAGCATCGTGAATCCCTACTCACTCAGGTGAGTCTCCTTAAACTAGTGGAGACGTCCAGTAGATACCAAAAGACAGTGGCTTTACATCCATCCTGAATTATCCCATCAGTAGACTACAGTACTCAAAAGGATATATTATTTATCTTCCAAAACAAAAACAGCAAGAAACTGATTAAAATGTGTAAAAGGATCAAGATAATTTCTTATGAAACATGAAACATAAAAATTGGATTTTGTTTTCACTGGCACCCAGTTTGAAGGCCAGCTACAGTATGGTAAATTCTATCTACTGTATCTTAGACCAAGAATGAGCAACTTTAGTGCTTTCGGGGGCTAGTCTTCTGTCCTTGGGTGCCCTCTGGGGGGACTGCAAAGAACAGTTAAAAAAATTAAAGTGTCTTGCAACCCATGTCTGGTTTTGAAAAAATGACATTTCAAAGAGTTTGACTGTGGACCATATGTGAATTGCCATTTCTGATGGCTTCAATAAGTGGCTGTTCACCCTCCTTTGCATGAAAAGGGAGATTGGGAGGGGGGTTAGAAGGAGGATCACAGAAATTGCTTTACTAGGACTGCATGCAGTCTTAATGCCACCCCCCTCCTCCCCTGTCCTAGACTGTGATGAGTTTTCTTTTTTAAAAAATTCACAATTAAATTCCAGTGACTGCATGCAGTCTGAGTACCACACCTCTTCCTGCCCTGTCCTAGACTGTGATATGAGTTTTCTTTTTAAAAAATTCACAATTAAATTCCAGTGCCTAATCAAATTGAATTTACTACACTCTATTTGTTATTGTTAACCAAGGCTTAAGCATACTACATTAACATTACATGCCGTATTTTAAGAACATAAGCTGTCTTTGGACACACATTGTAGGTAAATGTGAGAGAAATCGGGTATTTTGTGCATGACCTTGGGGGTGGAGCAAAGAGCCTAGAAGCTTTAATGGGGTGGAGCATCATACACACACCCATGGATCTCTGGTGTTAAATCTGGCACTTAGTGTCCCAATTAGAAGTGGAGAAAAGGGTAGAAAAACTAAAGAAGATGCTGAGTTTGGCACCAATGGATAAGGAGCGTATGACCTTAACAGCAGCCTCTTTTGCCACCTACAGTTAGCAATTTGAATTTCCCGCCTTTTTCCCCTGCCTTTTTCTGTTCCTATGTGAAAGCTCCGGTCGCAAGTAGAAGCTAAATTTTGCGGCCGGAGCTGGTCATAAGTTGAATTGGTTGTAAGTAGGGACGTTCGTAAGTCAAGACACCACTGTACTAGTGATGAAGGTACAATCAATGTCTTTAACTCTTAACCAAAAATCCCACTTCATCCGCGCACAACTGCCAACCCTCTCTCTCTCTACTCCAAACTCCCCATTCCAACATCTCCCTTCTCAACTCTCTCCCACTCCTTGCAGAGACTCTTATATCTTGTGACTTATATCTCTCCACCATTCTCATTGATACATGCAAATAGCTTATTACTATTCATGACCTGGGTGGATGCCACAACTGTCTAAACCTAGTTTGATTTTACTACATATTTACTTTCCATCTTGGCTCCAGGCTGCCAGTCCTGACAGGAGGGTACCTGCCACTGTCATTTGCACTGGAATCTGGTCTTTCCAGTTTATTGTCTTATTCCATGGCAGTTATGCTGTGCAATAAGACAACAGGTGTTGCACGGCAGAAGACCAGTACCTCTGTTACATAAAAACTGCACCTTCTGAGGAAAATGCTATTATGAGGAGAAAAGTATCCCTACCTTCTCCCTCAGCTAACTAGTGGTTTGCATACAGTAGTCACAATAAATATCCTACTACTATTTAGTTAAAGCCTGTGACATCATTGGCATTGAAAACAAACACTCTCCATCCCCTGCACCATTGTCAGACAAACTGAAAATTTAATTTGTTTTTAGAGGATGAGCAGACCGTGCTGTACCATTGCATTGACCTGATCCATTTTGGAATCCAGCTGAGCTCAAGAGAGGTGTTTACAGTATTTAACTGCTCTGCCATCTAGTGCCCATCTTTTTCCAGCACATAATTCTCTTTAATCTTAGTTATGCAAGGACATTTCTGCTACGCCCTGAGCATGCCTGCAGGCATTTCTTTCATTGCTTGGAAGGCAAAGTGCAGATTCCGAGTTTAGTGGCAGGAAGGCAGTGGGCAGCAGAGGGCAGACGATACACAGGAAGCCCCTGACTAGTTATCAGTTTGGCCAACCCAGAGCTTTCATACTGACGGCCGATTGCTGAGGCTACTGTTTCATGTTCATGTTCCCTTCTGGCTCATGAGTCATGGCCAGCGACTCTACCAGTGGTACATGTGCCACCAATGAGATGTGGATGCAAAAATAGTTTATGTGGGGCACTGGGTTTCAGCAACAGCTAAAGGAATTTATTCTACCTCAGTCCACATGTCCTCTTGTAAGTGAAAAATGTCATTTCCCACTGGGTCTACCTACCTGTGATTCTTTTTTTTCAAACGATAGTTTGTAGTTATTACCAAAATATAACTTAAACTCCCCACCACACAATTTTCAACTATTAATGGAATTATTATCCTTGTTTCTTGTTTTCTACGGCCTTAAAACTTGCCTGTGAAATACACTATCAGCAGGCAGTTGATATACAGTATAGCTCTCCTTGGAGAAAAGGGGGCTTCTTGTTTCTTTCATGGTGGGACCTAGGTTCCTCAAGAGAATGATTGGAGGAACATAAGGTACACAAAGGTGAAAGGTTTGATAACCCAGAGCTCTAGATTAAATGCTAGTGGTAGGCACAATACCTTCTGGTGGGCCCCATCCTCTACTTGTACCACTGCGTTAGTCTTCCTCAGGGGTGGCATGGCTTTAAAAATAGCTAACATTTAAATTTGCAACAATATCCTGCTGAGGTAAGCTTTGAGTGTGGAGAGCAAGGTAGGGAGCAGCAGTGGCATACACACACACCTTGAAGCTTCCAGGAGGATGGTGCATGATTATTGGCCTGGTACTATTACTTGATGGCATTTAATCCTGTTTCAAGTCCCACACTTGCATGGGGGCAATTACAGAGATTCAGAATGGAGGCAGTGGATCAGGGTAGCCTTTTGAGCCATGTATGTTTGGCATGACATCTCTCATGGGATTATAAAGGAACTGTAGGCCAAAACATCTGAGGGAAGAAAGGTTGCCCAGTCCAGATGCAGTGCACTCTGGTTGCACATGGTCTACAATCCTTTTGTTCTGCTTTCATTTGGGGAGACTTAGGGAAATCCACAAGGACCAAAGTATAGAACCTCTGTTTTGTATTCATTAAAGAAAACAATAAATGATTCGTCTAACCCTACTGGTAAAATATACGGATTAATTTCTTTTTAAACATTTAATTAGGGTCTTGCTACTCCACCTTCTTCTAGAAAGGGCTCCAAGTTCTTCTCCACCACAGAAAATTGCCTGGAGAGGGTGCAGCAATTTTACGATATCCCGTTAAGCCCTGAAAAGGTACAAGCACGGAAATGGCAAGAGTCTTCATTAGACCATGTAAGTGTTCTGAGTCAATGGCTTGCTGTTAAAACATGGAGCTATGCCAAGGCATGTAAGCAGAAATACTCTCTAGTTAAGGGACTACACTTGGTCTATGGGTACCTGAAAAGAAATGTAGATATGGATAAGTCAACCAACCTGGAACTTCCTGAGATCAATAGCTGGAGCTGGAGGTATGAGTGGCAATGAAAGGCCAGAAACTGAACTGCAGTGGGCAATTTGTAATGGGAAGTTTCTGATGTTTATATAAGGCCTGGTCACTCCAGAGTTTAAGGACTGATGTTGTAGACAATGTGTCACCAAAAGCAAAAAAGTCAAAATAAAAACTGGTGTGTGTGTGTGTACATCAACGAAAACAAACTCTCATCCTCTTAATATTCTAAACACCAAAAAAGACAAAAACAAACCCTCCTCCTCTTAATATTCTAAACACCAAAAAAGATTGAAGTGATTGCTGCATTCCCAATTTTGTACCAATTCTGAAGGATCTTGATTATGGTGACCCAATAATGTGGAATTTGATCCCTAGAGTCATTGAGCTCCCTCATTTTCTGCTTTTTGACCACCTTAAAAACACATTTTGCGAAACAGACTTTCTACTGTTCTGTGTTCTCTTACCTTATCTACACATTACTACTTATATTTTAATGTAAGGTTTGTCTTGTGATTCATGTTGTTTCAGTTTATTTGTTAATTTCCCATCAGTAACATTATTGTTTTCTGTCTAGAATATGCCACTTTCAGCATTATTAAAAAAAGACAGCTATGAAATTATAGAACTAATTTGCAATTGTCTGTGCTACTTTTCAGATATATGTAATTCCCATAACATCTTCAAGAGAAGTTGTCACTAGTTCTCAAGGAAAGCATCTGAGTGATTACAAAACCTTGCCAAATCTTCGGAAATCAGAGTGGATCTATGATATACCACTGTCACCTGAAAAAAAAGGAATACAGGAAACTTCACAGAACCATTCCCCAAATAAAAATGTTTATGATATACCACCAACTAGGTTTGATTCAAGTAAACAAAGAGCTCTAACAATGAAGAATAAAGTAAAATTAGTGAATCCTGAGGCATACGATGTTCCACCCATACGGAGGAAGTTAACGTGTCCAGAGATCCTTCTGTACGATGTGCCATCTGTACATGATGTGTCAATGCAACATCAAAATGGTAACTATGACATTTCTTCAGCTGCTCCGTCTTGCAGGATTGAGAAAGAGAAGCACCAACGGACTATTTATGATATTCCCAGAGGATTGCCTGTTGCATTGGCACAAAAGAAAGAAAACACACATAGTCATAGTTCTGGAGGCAACACATACATTTTCCCTCCCTCGTTGTCCTCAGATGGCAACCCAGATCAAGACAGATTGTCTGTTTCAAGTGTAGACAGCAGAACCAGCACAATATCAACATTGTCAAGTTCTTCTAGTGATTCCTTTTCATCTTCAGCATCTTCATCTATTTTGTCTTCATCTTCAGAAGAGCCCAACAAAGAAACAAGCATGGAACTTGAATCAGCCATAGAAACTCTGACTAAGCTACAGCACAGTGTATCCAGTTCAATTGCAAGTCTAATGATTTTTGTGAGCAGCAAATGGCGGTATCGAGAACATCTAGAGGGAAACATTGATGAAATTCATCGAGCAGTTGACCACATAAAGGTCTCCTTGGGAGAATTCTTGGACTTTGCTCAGACCATTGAAGGCAACACAGCTTCAGGTTCTGATAGCAAACTTCGGACAAGAATTAAAAAACAGCTAAATATACTCACAGACTCCTTTCAGATCCTTGTGGAAACTAGAGAGGCATTGAACAACTGCAAATGGTCCCTTGAGATTCTTGTCATTAAGAAGCCTCAGAACAATCCAGATGACCTGGATCGGTTTGTGATGGTGGCTCGCACCATTCCAGATGACATCAAGAGGTTTGTCTCCATCATCATAGCAAATGGGAAGTTACTTTTCAGAAAGAGCTGCAAAGAGAAAACCGGCAAGGACAGGGCAGTTTGTGCAGAACATAATGTGAGTCTTGAACAGCGAGTTGAAGATGATTCTCTTCTAAGAAGTATTTTGGAGAAGCCAAAAGAGAAGGCAAGAGTTGATGCCACTGAAGAGTCTGATTACATTCAGATACAGGTCAGTAAAGTGGAAATGCAGCAGGAACTGACAATTTGTTTTGAGAGTGAGAGCCCCCTACATATACCAAAAGAGGCATAGTCAGACCTGTGCTACTCTGGCTCCTAACCTGGTCCTTTCTCCCCAAAACTAAATAGATAAATAATGGTACCAATGCTTACTAAGCTCATCAAAGCTTGATATTAGGAGCACCAACTCAGGAGTGGGATAAGCCAAGTCAAGGGGGTCTTCATTCCTGCTATTCTGTTTTGGTCCGGCAAGCTTATAGAGAGTCACCGTGCACCCCATTTAAATTTTATTGAAATGACGGCCAAAATGGCGAAAAATATATAAAATCATTTATATATACAAACAAGCAATCAATATATCGTGTTTAAAGTAACAGTAATAATAAACCTTGCAAATGAAGCAAAAGTTTTTTTACTCACCCACACCCACACTTTCCATGTGCACACCCCATTCCTTCATGAGCACACACACGCACACATTCACACAGTCCAAATTATGACTTAGATGCAACTTTAGAGGTGGGGAGAGCAGAAGACAAGGGAAAGGAAAGGGAGAAGCTGTCACCCAAAGACACCCCCCCCATTCTTGCATGACTTGTGAAATGTGGAGGCAGTGGCACCCACTGCATCTTGCCTACTATCCCCACACCCTTGTACCATCCCCTCCCAGAGGCAGGATATGCAAAAGGAACATAAGGGAAGGATATATATTCCTATGGGATTCAAAGGGAGAGTGGTTTTGAAGAAGGGGCCAGACTGTAGAGACACAGGCCAATGATTGTCTGACAGGAAAGGGATCTGACAGAACTTATGGGGAGGCGCCCTGCAGGGTCGTGGCTGCAGAAAAAAGTGCCAGTGCTTTGAAGCATGCACACACACCACAGGGTGGCGTCCTGTTTGGGAATCAGACATGGGTTTAGGAAGGATTCCTAGTGTTCCGGAAGCAAAATTTCTGCAAACATCCAGTTCACATTTCTGCTCAGTATTATATGGACATCTTTTCTTCTCCCCCACTGCAGAAACCATTAGGACTGGAAGAAGTACAACCATCACTTTCAACTCACAAGGCAGAGGGGAAGAATGATGACTTAAAAACAAAGGTATTTCTTCTTCTTCTCAGAACAAGGATCTACACATTCAGCCTGTTCTTTGAAAGTACCAGAAGAGCATAAAGCCCCAGTGCGCCTGTATGGGACTGAGCCTAGATGGCTCAAGGAAGGAGAAAGCCATTGGTGTATTTTTTTGGCAGCTTGTTGTGGGAAGAGTTGTGCCCAGACCTTTCACTGAAGTCAGAGCATCACATCAGGTGGCCCCGATTTACTGCTCTTTCATTTCACAGTGGCCAGAAAGTGCTTATGCCAGAAGGCGTAGCATGCCTTTGTGTGCAAATAGGATGTATGTAGGACCTCTCACATAACTGAGAATTGTGTGATTGTTGTGCTACATAGCATCCTTGCCTACATCTTAGTATAATTAACATAAACATTTGTTGTTTAATTTGTGAGACTGAATCATTTAAAACATGTTGATCAACTAACAAAGCTCTCAGAACTAGCTAAGAAAGCATAATTTTTAAATTAGAGACACTTAAAACCATAGAACAATATGAACAGGTATAAAACCAAGGTCAGAAGTACCCTGTTTAGGAGAAACATTTCTTTGGGTTGAGGCCCAAAGAATCCACCGCCTACAAACTATTATTATTGATCAAGCCATGTTTGATGCGGAAGCTTTCATTCTGTAATAACTAGAAACACTCTAGTGGAACAATACTTTCCTCTAGACAAGTTACAGCTGTGTGGTTCAGATCACAAATAATGCACTGATCTACAAGAGGCAAAGCAGTCTACTTCTTTTCCAAGTTGGAGACATTTCTAGGTGTCTGAAAACTTCCTAATGTTAGTCACTTATTATAGGATACCAGGCATGGTCATTTGATCCACTTCACATCATCAGATTGTAATGTAATCACCCTCAGAAATTCCATATGCTCCATATAGTAAGCTGTTCTGTGTGAAGGAGTTTTTCACACAGTAGAATTCGTTTTTAAAATGTACCGTTGCTCGCGTGCACGCACACAAGCCACCACTTTAGGTTTTGATGGTTTACGGCATTCATACTGTAGATAAGGCGATTGATAGCTGAATAGTCAACATCAAGGAATTTAGCCCAATATTTTGTTAGTGCTAGGAAAGTACCCACATTGCAGAGGCAAACCATGTGCTTTGCATTCAGAAGCTCTCAACTTCCACTTCTGATATCTTTAGAGAAAACGAGCCATATAGTATGCCACTTGTGAAAAGCAGCTGTTCTTCACAACAGCAGATTATACTGAGCTGGTTGATGAAATGATCTGATCTGGCTTAAGGTATCAACTTGCATTTCTTATTGTAGTATGTCCAATTATGTATTCATAGGTAACTTGTACTTGTCAGTTGAGATGTTTTAAAATAAGCTACATGCTTGATAGTGAAAGTTGTTGATGTGTTTTTGTTTCTTCCTTTCTAGGCTTCTCCATCTGCAATGAAACACAACGAGGAGAGTCTAGCCACGAAAATGGTGCTCTCCAGTATCTGCAGACTATATTTTGGGGCTGTTCAGAAAGCCATTGCTGTTTTTTTCGAAAGTCTTGGGAGTGATCAGACCCCTGATGTTTTCATACCCAAAAGCAAACTGATCATCATGGTGGGCCAAAGGCTGGTGGATGCCTTATGTCAAGAAGCCATTGAAAAGTCCAATCGAAATGAGGTCCTGAGTGGTAGCAGCAATTTTTGTGGCTTGTTGAAGAACTTGGCAGTTGCAACCAAGAATGCTGCAATGCAATATCCATGTGCTGTTGCCATGAAAGAACTTCGCAATCAAGCTGATTGGCTATTAAAGTACACAGAGGAGTTCCGAGCAATGATGGAGTAAAGTGATCATACTGCTGATGTTCTAAGAATAGGACATGCATACTGGCAAACTCCAAAGCAGTCTAATATAGTAGCAAGCTGAACTGTATTTTCAACACATGAGTTGGGCACAGGGCTGTATCTTCTGGCTGCACCTCTGTATCTCTGTATGCACTGGACCCACCCTCTCAATTCAGAACTTGCAATGTTGGGCATCAAGGTCTGAAAGAATTTCCAAGGAAGTAGCCATGTTAGGCCTATCGTAACAGAAGTAACAAAGAATCTTGTGGCACCTTTAAAAACTAAGAATTGCTATTTGGCATGAGTGTTCATGGGCCAAGCTTTTTCTTCAGAAGTATGGCATTTAGTATTCAAGCCACGGACTGGTTAAGGTTATTGGGGTGGAATAAAATGGGATACAGAAAATGACATATTATGAATAACGGTTATAACTTTTCAGACTCCTGGTTAGCATAAACATTATGTATACCGTCACTTACACAACTCAGTTACCTTCTTATGTGTGTTTTTTTGCTCTCAAAAGAATTATCCGTTTTACCTGATACTAGAAGTGACCTATGTTCTCTCATAGTCATGTTGAAAAATCACTTATGCGGTACACAATAGGGTAGTAATATAAGTAAACCTGTATTGATGAACTGATTAATACTTGAAATGAAATTGATTGGTTGGTTCAAGCCAAGGAAGATAAAATTCCTTCTGATGTATTTGCATTCAGCTATTTCCCTTTTGAATGAGTTTTTAAAGTTATTTTGCCTAAAAAGGAGCTCTGCTCATGCTTACTCGATGAACACAGGCACTCTCAGTGAAGTCACTGATCCTGCTTTACTGGAGAAAGAGATCTGTTTCCATTCTAGTCAATATTAGTAGATCTGTATTTTATACTTTGTTGCTGAACATTGGCAAGTTTGGAACTGAGACCTTCATTCTATTGCTGTTTCCAACTACAACAGATTCACGTACTCAGCAGCATTTATATAAATGTTGACTTGTCATTCAGTTATTGATCCAGTAGAATTACTCTCTAGTTAAGACTAGCAGGATACTGGCCTGAGAGTTCAGATTAGTCTGGAATACTCAGGGATGTAGGGGTGGGACTATCCCTGTGCAAATTATTCATGTTTGAAATGTCTGAACAGGGCTAAAGTGGTCATTAGAAAAGACTACAAGAACTAATTTCTAGGTATGATAGACTCTTTGTTTAATGCAGAGTATCTATGACAAGTCATTCTATGTGCACAAGGAAAATAATAGTACTGTAGATCCCAACCTCATGGGGATGTTGTCAGAATAAATATATACATATTTGGTCAAATGCTTCGAGACCTATACATTTAACTAGTCGTGGGCTGTTTGGAGAATGGTTAGTGTGTTGAGCAACAGCAGCTGTCACAGTGCTGATCATCTGATAGGGAAAGGCTGATAAATACTCTGAAAGGTACAAATATAATTATGGTTAACTGTGGATTAAGAAGCATGTGTTTCTGCTCTTCTGCCTTTCTGTATGTATGAACAATCCTATATTCCAGAAACAAGACAGCATACCCTTGAATAGGACTCGCATTGGCTAGACACGCTCCTCTGCCTTTGTTGTCCTATTCCCAGTCATGTGAAACTTGATGGTATGTTCTGCCTTGGACAAAGTCAAAGCTGATAATCAAGGATTTTGGCCTTAATCTCAGAAAGGCAATTCAGAACTACAGGGAATGATAAAGCAAAATCAAGAGTGAAATACTGCCTTTAAGTGGGTTGAATCAAAGCAAAGAGTTCTGTAACTAATGTCAAAACCATTCACAATCAACAAGCTAGCAGAATACAATCAGTACAAGGAGGATCCTACGACAAGTCAGCAAAAGTCTAGGATGTAGAGTTTGGCTGACAAGGTCCAGGCAGGATCAGACATTGTTATTAGTCCTTAATTTAGCCAAAACTAAAACTTAGATGATGGTTCTTGAGACCCCATTCATTTAGCCTTTATGAGAAAAGTCCTACTCATCAATAAGTCCTTTTGTTTCCAATGCAACCATTACTCTTAAGGAGATCTTCCTTGAAAGTCTTAAACTTAGTCCTCTGCCTTCATCTGTCTTCATTTCTGTGGACAAGCATTCTCATCCAAATCAGGGACCAGACTTTCTTTCTCAGGAGGTGCTGTTTTCTGCAGAATCAGAGATGATTATTGAGTCCTTGTCAATTCCTGGAGTTTGATTTAAGCCTCACTAGGGGCCTTCTGCAGTGTGCAAGCAACAATGGTTTAAGTAAGGTGAAAGTAGTGATGCTGGAGCATACCACATTACAACCAGCTTCTATCCTGTAAAAGGCAGATAAATGCTATCTCTGCATTAGCTTCTTCAGAAACCTAATCAGAGCAGTTTTGCAACAACCATCAGGTAAGCAGATGCATGGGTTTGTGGGGACTGTGATGTTGCTGCAGAAAAGAAGCAAAAACAGCTGTATTGTGCCACCATATTGCAGGTACATGAGGAGGGAAAGTTATTCTGTACGGCATTTGAAATTTCCTATTCCATGTCAAGTCTAAGTGAGTTTCAAAGTAAGTTTAATAATGGAGGATGGGTAGTAATATATGAACACCTTATCAGAAACATTTGTTTACCATTCTTACAAAAAAACACCACAAATCACAATCTAAAATTTTTCAGCTTTAGGAATACAGCAGTGGGGGTTTGAGGGGGCTATTGTTTTCCATTCCTGAGTTTTCTTTCAGGCAGTCATATTTCTAGTTCCTTACCATTAAGACTGAAGGGAGTTCCAGTGCAAAATATCTGGAAGGATAGAAGTCTCTTCACCACAGATCCAATGTTAATTCTTTAAACTTTCACATATGACTGTCTTCTATGGCTGTTTTGTTGCATTTGTTGTTGTTGTACACTGCTTTTCAATATTTTATCAATGTCTACATTATCTTGGAAATCACAGAATCATAGAGTTGGAAGGGGCCTATAATGCCATCAAGTCCAACCCCCTGCTCAATGCAGGAATATAAATCAAAGGATATCTGCCAGGTAGTTTTCTAAATTTCTCTAAAATGCCTCCAAGTGTTGGAGCACTCACTACCTCTTGAAGTAATTGGTTTCATTGTCATACTGCTCTAACAGTTAAGATTTTTTTCCTGATATTCACTCTAAACCTAATTTCATGTAGCCCATTATTACATGTCCTATACTTTGCGACGATTGATAACAGACCCTGCCTTTCCTCTGTATGGCTATCTTTCATGTACAGTATTTGAAAAGTGGTATATTCCCCCCCCCCCAAGTCTTATTTTCTCAAGACTAAACATGCCCAGTTCTTCGTCTTTCCTCATAGGGCTTGGTTTCCAGTCTTCTGATCATCCTTCTTGCCCTTCTTTGAACTTGTCCTAATTTGTTAGGACTCTTGAAGTGATGTTACTGGTCAATTTCAGTATTCAGATCTTAACATAATACATAATAGAGGGCACTGCCAAATAGCACTTCACAAGATTTTGGCACTATACTTGTTAATGCAGCCTAAAATAGCATTTGCCTTTTCTGTAGCCACATAACACTGTTGGCTCATATTCAGCCTGTGATCTACAATAACTCCAAGATCCTTCTCACTCATAATACTGCTGATCCAGGTATCCCCCATCTTGTAACCGTGCAGTTGGTTTCTTTTTCCAAGGTGCAATAACTTTGCACTTATTCCAGTTGAATTTCATTCTGTTGTTTTCAGCCCAGTGCTCAAGCCTATACTGTACATCATTTCAAATTTTGTTTGTCTTTCAGGGTGTTGGCTATTCCACCCAATTTTGTGTTATCTGCAGATTTGATTAGCATTTCCTGTATCCCCTGATCCCTATTAATAAAACCGTTTGTAGAGCTCTGGCCCCAGGACTGAGCCCTGGGGTACTCCACTTATCTCCTCCTAGTTTGAGAAGGAGCCATTAAGCGTCACCCTCCGACTACAATTCTGTAGCCAACTGTGTATCCACCTGAGAGTTGTTTTGTCCAACCCACACTTGGTTAAATTGCTGATCAGGATATCATGGGGAACTTTGTCAAAAGCTTTGCTGAGGTCAAGATCTATGATGTCCACAATATTCTTTCAATCAGCAAGGTTACCCAAGCAAAAAATGAGCTCAGATTATATCAGAAACGTGGTTGGAAAATAAAAACCATTTTTTTCTAAAATCATTAATCAAATATATCATTGCAGCCTTATTGTCTTATTCAAATTTTAGAAGCATGTCTCTAAATTTAACAGTATTTTACTGCCAGCAAAAACGATATAATACTGAAGACCTACAACCACATCGTGTGTCTGCTTAACTTCAATGCGAAACCCACTAATGTCAGTATAAAGCATTTTAAAGCTACTGAATTTCGTCAGACTGCTGTACGGCTCTACTGCGAAGCAAGCACGTTTGGGATCTCTAACTCGGACCAGAAACTAGTCTGAGTCGTATTAATTCAGAGCCAAATTGTAGTGAAATATGTGACGCAAGACTCGCCACCAATCCCTTCTTAATAGACTGAACGGCTCAAAGACAACGCCTCAGATGTCAATAGATTGCGCCACGTTAGTTGCTACGGTTCCTTAGCAACGCGCCCCAAATACGTCATCATTGCTTGCCTTTCTGCTCCGGAAGAGTTTGTCTTTCGTGACCGGAAGTTCCTTTGTTGTGTGGAAATCCGGAAGTAGGAGGAAGGATTTGGGTGGCGAGATGGGTTGCGATGGGGGTACCATCCCGAAGAGGCACGAATTGGTGAAGGGACCGCGCAAAATTGAGAAGGTAGGCTTGTAGGGGAAAGCTGCGGAAAAGCCCCTGTTCCCGAGAGGAGCTGGGAGGATTGGGTTGTGTTCTTTTCAGACCTTGGAGATGGGACGAGTGGGGTGTGGTTCGGCTGAAACACTGGGTTTGGGAACATCACCGTGAAAATGGTCGTGGGATACGTGTCAGGTGCTGGGAAATCCGAGTCGCAAAACAGAGGAGGGGAAGAGAGAACCGACAGAAGCTCCCACACACACGCTTCAGTAAATATGAAACCAAAACGAAAATAAAATTATTGTGGTATTTTAGGACTGACAGTTTTGTTTCAGTCTCAGATTTTGTGGATTACAGGCCTGTTTTTGGAACACCTGTAGATTGTGTCACTCTCGCTGAAGAAGGGAATTGTAATCCATGAAAGCTCACATTGAAGTGAAGTGTTTAGTTTTAAAGGTAACACAATATTTTTGTGTTTGCGTGTGCATAAACAGGCTAACATAGCTACCAGTCCATCAGACACTTTTTCACACTGAATTTAAGATTGCACGTTTACATACTGGGTAGTTCAGATTTTGTTGTTGTTTGTGCACAGTGTCTGTATCTGAATCTACAACATGTGTGTAAATTGTTATTTTATTTATTCATCTTATATACCATTACTGTGACAACATTACTGTGGCTGATGGTCAGATTCCAAATATCTCCTGTATGGAGAATTAGTGCAGGGAAATCGCCCCAGAGGGAGACCACAGCTGCAATACAAGGATATCTGCAAGCGGGATCTGAAGGCCTTAGGAATGGACCTCAACAGATGCGAAACACTGACATCTGAGCGTTCAGCCTGGAGGCAGGCGGTGTATCACAGCCTCTCCCAATTTGAAGAGACCCTTGTCCAGCAGGCCAAGGCAAAGAGGCAGTCCCGAAACCAGCAAAGCCAAGGAGCTGGACAGGGGACAGATTGTATTTTTCTTCATTGTGTAAAGGATTGTCACTCTTGAATTGGCCTTCTCAGCCACACTAGATGCTGTTCCAAGTCCTCCATAAAGAGCATAGTCTCGCGAGACTGAAGGATGCCTAATCTAACTGTGACACACTATTCTGCGTGGTTTACAGCATACTAAAATAAAATACAACAGCAACAAGATTATAAATAAAACAATCAGACAATAATGTTATGCATTTAGATCGTATGCATATGTAGTTTACATACACCAAAAGCAACTGTCAGTTGTGATATTTTGTTTTTAAATTTACACAGTCAACATGCATACTTCTGTAAATGTTTAAAGAATTTATTTCTCTAGATTAGTGGGACATGTGGGCATTGCAAGAAAGGGGCAGTCTGAAATGCCATTTGGTACTTATGGATTTGGACAGCTCCTCTTAAACATACTCACATTCATAATTATGAAGTGGCTTTCTTTAACAAGTATTGTTTTCATAATCATCTACCTGCCATTCTTGCCTCATGTGTATATGATGCATACAGTGTTTTACAGGAAATTGATTTCAAATTGAAAGGAAAAGTGTAATGGGTGATGAGTTCAAAGGTAGTGGTTTTTCTGGTAATATATATGTAATATATGTATTCCTTACCTTAGGTTGACAAAAATGCAGAATTGGTGGCGCAGTGGTACTATTGCACATTAAGTCAAGAAAAACTAATCAGGCCTATAGTGGCTTCTGAGCTTGGCAGGTAAGTTTACAATTTTTGTTTTTCTTTCAGTGAAAATATCCTAATTTCCTAGTAATTTTCTGTCACTGAGTTCATGTGTTTTACCAAACACTCCTTCTATTTTAGGTTATATAACAAAGATGCAATCATTGAATTTTTGCTCGATAAATCTTCTGATAAAGTCCTTGTGGAGGCTGCATCCCACATCAAGAGTATTAAGGTAAAATTAAAATGTAAAATATAAAAATGTCTAATTTTTTAGACATCAGAATCTATATATTTCAGTTGTGTGTGTTCAGAGAAAAGTCATTGTGTTCAATTCCTCAGTGTGTTAAATTGATTTTTATGGAGTCTCTGAAGCACCCTATTTCTACAGCATGTTTTTTTTTTTCAATGGGAAATGCTTTAGATATATTTTCTTGTACTTATAGTTACATTGTGTTTTATAGATGCTTCAGGTATTTACAAAGGCCATTGGGTCAGGATGAAAACTGGAGTTCAGTCCAGTCATCATAGGGGTTGAAAGAAACTCAATGACAAATGAAGTTGTACATTTGTTATTCTGATACTCAGTTTTGGGTATCTTTGTCCTATTCTTACTTCTGATTTGTAAATGCTCTGGCAGTATTGGAATCTTTAGTGGGAGACACATTGTATTTAGTTTTTATTATGTGTCTTAAATTCATTGGATAGCTCAGTGGATTAGTTACTTGGGTGCAGAATCAGAGTTTGGAAGTTCAGTTTCCCACTGTGCATCACAGAAGAGCCATTCCTTGCAGCCTTGGGAAAGCTGCACAGACCCAGGATGCCCACAGAAGAAGGGAATGGCAAACCATTTCTGAATACGGTCTATATAGATTTCATTGTATTTCAATAGTAATATTTTAATTTGTTGTGATTTTAAATACACGTATATAATTCAGGTCTTGTGTGCCACCTTTAGTCCCTTTATTGGAAATAAGATGGGATGTAAATAAAATACATAAGTAAATATATAAAATTTCTCCATCCTCTTTTTGTTCATTTCTTTTCTCCTACATAGCAGTGTATATGCACAGAGATATTGCTAGTTCTGACATCATTATAATACTTATTATAGTAGTGCTATATTATTCAGTGGTAATAACTGAACTGTGGCAGCTAATACTCATGTGATCAGTAGTTTCAGAAATGCTTGGGACATTTAGTATCTTCAGTTAAATGTTGTTTTCTATGTTACTTAGACCTGGGCCAGTAAACAGAATGGCAGTTAACTCCCACCGCTCTTTTAGAAGGAAGCTTTTAATGGGTAGTTCTTAAAGTATAAATATGTTGCAAGTCGCTTGAATACAGAATGCTGGAGGAGAGAATTGTACTGTTTTAGTCGATTGCTTTAATTCACTTTAGTTTAAACTAACCTATGTATATTATTCTGTTTCCTTTCAGAATGTAATTGAATTGAATCTCACAGACAATCCAGCTTGGACTGGTGACAAGGGGAATACAAAAGGGGACAAATATGATGACATCCATAGTGCCCGTTTTATTTGCCCTGTAGTTGGGTTGGAAATGAACGGAAGGCATCGGTTAGTGTTTACTGTTTAATCACAAGTAAAAGTAATGAGTATTTTTCTGTTAATTTTTCTTAATATGGTTGAGAATCTACATTGTTTTCCTGAAAATAAGACAGGGTTTTATATTAATTCTGGTTCCAAAAATGCGTTAGGGCTTATTTTCAGGGGATGTTTTATTTTATTCATGTACAACAATCTACATTTATTCAAATACAGTCATGGCATCTTCTTCTGGTTGCTGCACAATGGTGGAGGGCAGGGTTTCACTTAACTGGGTCTTATTTTTGGGATAGGGCTTATATTACAAGCATCCTGAAAAATCATACTAGGGCTTATTTTCAGGTTAGGTCTTATTTTCAGGGAAACAGGGTATATACTCTTATTTGGATAATCTGTATTTGCAACATATATTTTAGTGATTTATAATAAACTCTCCTCTGAAAGCTAATGTATGATGGAAGTAGGGGACTTCAGATATCTATCATTCATTATAATCTGTTATCATTTGGAAGCTGATAATGTTATAACTAAACCATCAGTGCATGTATTTAGATTTCATGGTCTGAGCCATAAAAATGTGCACGCCCATAATAAGTTAGTAGGGAGAAGATGCATGATCATGTGCAAACATTTGCTTTTTATCACTGAAGCAATTCAGAAGTTTAGATGTAGGGAAGTGTGTTTTTAGACTCATATTTCTACAGCCAGGTGTTGGAATATTTGTTTATGTTACCTGCTCAGTACTAATAGTTAACTAGGATTGTAGGATCTTAGTCTGTGCAGTTTCGGATGTTGTGCATGTTTCCTTATCTTTCCAATTTTTAATCTCTGGCAAAATAGTATGCCAGTAAATTAATAGTGTAAACCATGGATGAGCAACTTTGATGGGTCTGGAGGTTATTTTTACCCCTCCCAGGATCTTAGTGGACTATATCATCTTAAAATTCTTCACACACCAGAAAAAAAGATCACTATAAAAATAGTCCTTTGTTGTTCCTAAAAATCTATAGCATTTGTCGTGGATCATTTCAAGGAGTTTTAATCCCCTCTTGTATAGTTTTAGCTGTAAAATAGCCTTTAAAAAACATGTGGAGTTTTATTATTACATAAATATTTACAGCTTTAAAATACTGCTTTGGGCCTAAAGCAGGTCTTGATGGTGGGAAGGATAGCCTTTAAATAGCCAGTCCGTTTTCCAGGGTGGATTCTGGAGGCACAATTGATCCCTTTTTGGACTGGAAAAACTTTTCTCAGTGAGGCGAGGAGTGTTTGTTTCTTGGGGGTATGCAACTATTGCTCTCCCTTGGTATGGATATTAGCTTTTAGGGAAAAGAAAGATTTGTTAAATACTTTTTTTAAAAAATAGCTTTTGCATAATGTAGATGCATTGATGGTAGTCATACTTCTGTGTAGGAGAGGAAGCTTACTATGATTCTTAGGACCTAATGTTATGCAGATTTTCTCAGACTCGTTCCACTTGCTCAGTAGCATTTGTGCTGTCCTTTTTAGGGGTGATAATGTTCTTTTATGGGTTTGATATAGAATACTGTTATTTGACTTGTAGTTTGTGGTGAGGTGGTGGAACTTATTGTGCTGTTTAGTAGGCGAAACATGACCAACATGAATTTGACCCAACTGCAGGAGGCAGTGGAAGACAGGAGGGCCTGGCGTGCTCTGGTCCATGAGGTCACAAAGAGTCGGACATGACTAAACTGACTAAACGACAACAACAACAACACACCTGCATTTTATGCATGCTCCCTTAGAGAAGTGCCCAACTAAACAACAACAACACACCTGCATTTTATGCATGCTCCCTTAGAGAAGTGCCTCCCGCTGTGATCAGTTTATCTCACTAACAAGTATGTATGCATCAGTTTCCAGCCATAACCACCAAAATCCTAAATTATTAATATTTGAGTGTGGGGGGAAAAAAAGAGAGGCATTCAGTTGTACAGTGGTGCCCCGCATAGCGAAAAAAAGAGAGGCCTTATTCAGTTGTACAGTGGTGCCCCGCACAGCAACATTAATCCGTTCCGAATTAATCATCGCTATGAGGAAAAATCGCTAAACGGAACGGAAAAAGCCATAGGAACGCATTAAACTTCGTTTAATCCATTCCTGTGGGGCCCAAACTCAGCGAAGTTCCTCCATAGCGCCGCCATTTTCGCACCTTCGGAAAGCGAGGGCAGGGCGTGAAAACACATCCGGCGGCCATTTTGGGCACCCGGTGGCCATTTTGGAACCGCCGATCAGCTGTTCTAGGAACATCGCAATGCGAAGATCGGTAAGCGAAATGCTTACTGATCATCGCAATGCGATGTTTTACCCATTAAAACATCGCAATGTGATCGCATTAGCGATCTAAAAATATAGATCGCTATGCGGATTCGTTGTTAAACAGTGCGCTCTGACATTTAGTCCAGTTGTGGCCGACTCTAGGGCGCACTATGGTGCCTTTCTTTTGACACTGGGATTCGAAGTGCTAAGTCTGCACGTACCTTGAACACAGTTTTTTTTAGCTCAAGTTAAAAAATGCCTGAGCATAAGCATATTTGATTTTTTTTCTTTAAAGTTATAGTCAGTGAGAAGTTAATGTGTATCAGGACAATATTATTAGTTTTTATCGTTTGCTTACTGAAATCAGGGAGTGCTTATTGCTGTTGTGCAAAACCCTTTTCTTAAGATGTGTTGCCTGTTTTAACCACATGAGGGCACTTAGGGACACACACCTTAAACTGCTGCATTCTGACCAACAAGTAGAAATGTGTTTTTTAAAATGTTGCTTCAGATATACTTCTGAAATATGTTCAGTTAAGTGTGGCTGTGATGTGCAGCTGATCCTACGCATATTAGAATTCAGTTCCCAATGAGTATACTAAGACTTCGTTCGAGCTAAATGTGTCGCAGAATTGCAGCCTCAATGCTACTGAAATCTGTTGCTGCCTTGCTTAATAGTGTTTCTAAATTTCTTTTGTATTTTGATTTAATTTGTATTTATTTGGATTTCATTATTACCATGGTTTGCTTGTTTTAGGAAGAAAGGTGGAATCAAGATGTAGTGAAATTAAATAAAGCTATAATAGTCACAAGTACCCTGAACCCATTGCTTACATAAGACTTAATGTACAATGTTATACATATCTATACAGAAGTAAACCACATTCAGTTCAGTAGGATTTATTCCTGGGTAGATATGTACAAGATTGCAAGTTGAAGCCATAACTGCTTTTTTCCCCTTAAACTGAAGCTTGTGGCTAGAGTTTATTAAATATCAATTTTTCTGTCTTTGTATCTACAAGGTTTTGCTTTCTTCGGAACTGTGGATGTGTATTCTCTGAACATGCTCTCAGAGAAATTAAAACTGAAGTGTGTCACAAGGTAAGTTTTGTTCTTTTTCTGTTCTTCATTTCCCTTTTTTTATTGTAAAGGCGTGTTGTATTCCAGATACATAAGCTTATGTCCTACTGATTTAAGAGAGAGAGTTTTAAGCTTGCATAATTAGGGTTCGGTAGCAGCAGTGAGTTCAGAAATAAGATCATCCTGCTTTCCTTTGTTTGGCTTTCACATTCTTTTATTGTTTATTAAAACAATAAAAGAATAAAAGTTTTTTCATCTTAGAGGCTTTGGGCTTCTTTCTGTCTTAATATCGCAAACGAAATCGTTAAGGTGCATTGCCTTTTACTTTGTGCCAGATTGATAGCTCCTTTACTTGATTGGAAGTAAATAAAAATTAGAAATTCTTGAGAAATTAAATAATCTCCCCACAGTGGCAGTTGTAAAAAAACACACACACATTACTGATTTCAGGATGTTAGGTAAAAGGTAAAGGTTCCCCTTGACATTTAGTCCAGTTGTGGCCGACTCTAGGGCGCAGTGCTCATCCTCATTTCCAAGCCGTAGAGCCAGCATTTGTCCGAAGACAGTTTCCGTGGTCACGTGGCCAGCACGACTAGACATGGAACGCTATTATCTTCCCACTGTGGTGGTACCTATTTATCTACTCACATCTGCATGCTTTCGAAGTGCTAGGTTGGCAGGAGCTGGGACAAGAGACGAGAGCTCACTCCATCATGTGGATTCGATCTTATGACTGCTGGTCTTCTGACCATCAGTAGAGAGACTTCTGCGGTTTAACCTGCAGCGCCACCACATCCCTCAATCCCTTCAGGATGTTACATTCTTCATAAATGTATTTATTCCTTCTAATCTGGGTCTTAAAGTGAATAAAGAATAAAGAATGTTTTGTCTTACTTGAGGTCTTGGTTTGCAAAAATGCCTATGCTGACAGGGCTTCTACTGTTAAGTCATGGGAAACAACAGCTTTAAGATGTGGCAAAAGTCCACTGCCTAATGATAGAGGAACTGGAGCACCATGATCTTAGTTTCATTGGTGGTATTTCAAACTGAAAAGGCTGGGAAAGACCTCAGTTTGAGATCAGAGAGAGCTACTATCAGTTGGAAAGCACAGTCATTGGCTAGATGCATGGTGGCTGCAGCTATGCTATTTGGCTTTGTGTATAGGTGACAGCAGTGATATATTGAATCAGCACACATGTGCTTTCTTAAATGATTGTATGAACAGCGGAATTGCAAGTCTTCACCTATATTGTGTAGTCACTGGTGGCTGTAAGAAGTCTTATAGTTGCCATACTTGAGAATCACTATTATGTGGACTTCTGTGTAGAGTGCATTTGATTTAAATAAAATTATCAGGAATCCTGTTGTAGATGTATGCTGGTGTTAAGTGTTATAGCACAAATCACAGTAGCAAATCGCAGCTAACAAAGAAGTTGTCACTTGTATTCTTAGCTAGATGTCAGTTGATGATGTGAGATGTTTCAGTTGTAACGTATATTACGTGAAGACTGCTCAGGACATAAGTTATTTTAAAAGCATTTAATAACTTTTTGAAAAACGATATAAATAAAAAAAATTAAAATCTGGGGTTTTTAATTAAATGAAGAGACTTTTATCAGCCTCCTTTCTGAAGTATGACGTTTGTTCCATGACAGGTATAGATTCCAGATAATGATGTTTTATTCTTGTAACTTTGTGAAATAGCAGAAAACCTTTGCAGTTAGGCACTTGAGAAGAACGTTGTCAGTCCTTGATGCAAAATATTGGCATGTCAGTAAAAGTTGATCTATGAAATGTTTAGATTTGGCATATTGTATTGATTCTCTGTAGAACCGGTTGTTCTGGTCAACCTTGTTCTCTTCCGTATTCCTGGCAGCCAAATAACAGGAAAACAAGCTCAGGCCTGTCTGCAGTGGCACTTTCTGCTGGGGCCACTTGACTTTTAGGTGACCGAGGAGACTGTTGGAAAGTTAGTAGGTCTACTGCATATATTTAAAGTATTCCAAATATGATACTACTGGAGCTGTACTGTAAATGTCACTCCTAGCAATACATTTGTTTGGAGTGATCACCTGACATGCTAAGGAAGTCTGCCTTTCTCTTGCAAATTTTGATCCATATTCATGTCTTAAATGAGAATTTCAAGAGTAAGCGTAGCCCAAATATATTTTGTCACTGGGGCTAAGGTCAGAAGAAAGGAAACAGTACATGAAATATTTATCCAATCGTAATCATTCTTTTCCCCACTACTGTATTGTGTCTGTGTATATGATGGCCATAAAAGCTCTGTTCACAATTGTCTGTGAAGGAGAGTCCACTAAGGTCCACTGTAGACTATTTAATTATCAAACAACTCCTACTTGCTGAGGCATGTTTGTCTTGTGATATTGTAATTATATTTCCGGCACCAAAGCCCATCTTTTATCTCAAGCTCTTAATGGCTTTTAATGATGTAATTAATCCTTATTTAGATCAGAGTTGAATTTTTAAAAAATTCCTAGTATATTTTTTATTAGCTTTAATTTTAGCTGTTTGATGGGTATGATTTAATGGTGTATATTATTGTTGGTAGACACTGATAACGGAGGATATGAGAAGTCTGCAGTTTATTTTTACTATCATTGCCTATCTATACCCAAAAGTCCTGTGTTAAAAAGTCCCAGTTAGTCCTGACTTGTTTAGAAAATGGAGGAATGCACTTAATTAAATGTTCATGTTTGCGTTTTATATACCTGGGCAGCTTACAGCTCAGTTCATACATTAGTGGGCAGCAAGTCCCATCAGTTCTATCTAGGATAGTTAATAGTAGGGGATGATGGGAATTGCCCTCCAAAACGTGTGAAGGCCATCAATTGCCCAGCACAGTTAAAAGCTATCAAGAACTCATTCCTCCCTAGTGTATCATCTTATATAGCCAAGATGGCAGCGTATGCACAAAAGCAGGGAAGTGTTAAACAGGCATGGGGGAACATGAAGGTTTCCTCTAAATTTATACATAAAATTGGATTGTAGAATCCTGAACAGAGTAATTGGTACAGACATGGTTTTTCTGTTAGCTTTGTCTACATTTTCTTGAAGACTTTGCCATCTCTCCTGGAAAGTCCAGATCCTGTGATCAAAATGCAGGGTTTGGTTTTTATCAAAAGCACTGCTCTCAAAATAGCTTAAAAAATCCTTCTTGATGTTGCCTAAACTTTCAGCAGATCTTGGTGCACTGTATGAGAGAGATCATCCAGATGTCTCCAAGTTCAAATCAACATACATGGAACATGGTTCTCTTCTATTGTGTTAAAATATTAATGTTTTTAGAATTTGGTTGAAAACATTTTATTCTGTCTTTCAGTTCATATTAACTCCAGGCAGTATAAATGGAAATGCAGTTATAAAGGTGTTTTAATTAATTAATTAATTAATTGAGAATACCCCCCCTTCTCCTTTAAAAATCCGAGGCAGCTTGCATCATTGAAAGACAACATTTAAAACTGAAAACAATGAGTATACAACGGTGGTTTGCATAATTAAAAAACAATATTTTAAACTAAGAACAATGAGTATAAAGAGGCAGCTTACATCATTAAAAGACAATATTAAAGCTGAAACAATATATAAAATTTAAAAAGGAACAAACAGATACCACCCTGGCATTGTTACAATTAGGGTTTGATAAAATTCATAAAAATTCTATGACAACATAACGAATAAATTCAGTCTTAATAGGAGCAGCACCAGAAGTTTCTAACCAGTAGAAGTGATCAATTTCACTTATGAATACATCACAATGGGGAGAAATAATGTTCAATACCGTGTGCTCCTTGGAGGCATGCCACATTGCTAAAGTGCTGGGAACAAACTAAAGTTCTTGAGTGGGACTTGTAGAGCAGAAGTGGGGAACCTAAGACTCTCCAGATACTGTATATTGAACTTCAGTTTTTGGAAGCCCTGCGCTATGTGGCCCATGATGATGGGTTCTAAGAATTGTTGTTGTTCAGAACATCTGGCCCTCCAGAGCATCCTCCAGATGTTCTTTGCTTCTGTTCTATGGCTGTACACCAGTGATGGAGACTTGAAACTGGCAAGTTCTTAAAAATCAACAAGTCCAGCAGATTGCTGCAAACAACAATCTGTGTATCAACCAATTTCTGAGGAGGTCTGTGTTCATGCCCTGCTTGCTTCTATCCCTACACTCTGATCTAAGGATTTTTTAAATGCTGATTGACAGTAGTGTTTGAATTGGTATTCAGTCCATTTCAAGCCTGAAATGATCCAAATCATTTTAAGCCTGCCCTTATCCCCATATTGCATATTATTAAGTAGGGTTTGGAAGGAGTGGAGAATGTAGGGGCAAGTGTGAGAAAACAAGAGTCTTCTGTGCCCTCATAAAGGCAGGAACAGATAAAGCACAGTAACAAAGGCCAATGATTTAAGAATTGTATGTAGAAAAATCCTATGGTTGTTATCAGCTCAGTATAGTGAGGGTGCACTTCAAAGTTCTCAGGTCATGGTGTCAAGCCCTTGCAGATCTTTGAGCCCCAAAGCGTTGACATCTGCACTTGGAGCCATATCTAGAAACCAGCTAAGCTTTGAAGCCTGAACACACCAGTTTGGCCTCATATAAGTCAGCAACAACTAAGAGAGAAAGAGAGAGAGTGTGTTAGTGTAAGACAGTATTGTTTATGTCCAACTTGTATTTCCTACTCGTAAGTGGCTTACAATAAATACTAATGTGTGCAGTTTTCATAAGTATTTTCAAAAATAGCTTTGAAAGTATCTTCAAATTGAGATATTGAAATGGGCGGTAGAGGGACTGGAGATTATCGTCTTGCATTCTACTTTTACACTGGTTATGATGGCAACGCTCATTAATAACATTCAGTACAAGTGACTACTTTTGCTGAATGATAAAAATGATCTGTTAGCTTTCTTAAAACACAGAAAAAGAAAAGCTGACAGGAAAGAAATTGATTTGTTTGAAGGGTAGTGCTGGAAGAGAGTTTTGTGGATACCCTGACTTTGCCAGAAAG